ATATATATATATTCTTTTTAATTGGCTTTTCAGGTGGTTTACCTTTCCCTATGCACTGCATCCCCCCTGCAGCCCGAGGCCTCTAGAACTGCAGAGTCAGGTGAAGGGCATCGGGGAGGATCCTGCCACTGCGGCCGTCACTGAAGGAGACTCTTCCTGGCTGCTGTATGAATGCAGATCTTAGTGCTCAAGTCTGGGATGGTGCGTACAGGTTGTGAGTCACAGTGGGAGGGAGGGATGGGAAGTCAAAACAGAAACCCAGAAATCAAACTGGAAAAACCAAAGGGAGACTCTTTCTAATATAAACACAGGTTTTATGCTGAGATACATTGGTTAGACTCTCCACTGGGTGATGTGCGGTGAACATCCCAGAAGTGACTGTGAAAGGAGGGAAAGCCCAGAGCCCAGAGATAGGAAACAAGGGCTCCGTGGCCAAAGGGACCCTGGTGTGCAGTTCCCTGGGGGCGGGGGGGGGAGGGCACATATCACTGGGGAATGCACTCAGAATTTCAGGCATCACCTTGCTACCCCATTGACTTTCTTGTCTCATGGACAATTCCGTTCAGGACGGGGTTTAACAAAACCTGCGCAGGGTCCTGTAATGAGGATCTGTGACTTTGTCAGGTAAGGGACAAACAGAAACAGACTTTGGAAACAACAGAGTGCAGTGGATACAGTCTTGACCTTTGGCCAGAGGAAAGAATTCAGAAACTGGGTTTTGTTTGCTGAGCGGGGAAATTTCTCAGTCACTTGGTCTGAAATGAAGCCATGTCCTGTAGACCTAAGGCTTCTGGGCAGGCCTTGGGGTGACTTTTATGGTCAGATGACAGGGGTCGGACTCAACTCTGCCACCGAATGGGTGAATGTACCTGGCAGGTCAGTTACACAAATTGAGCCTCAGTTTCCTTGTCAGTAAAATGGGGATGATGGTTCATTCCCTGGCTTCCATTCTGGGGCTTCGTGGGCCGCTAATGATCTAGTACCTGTGAATACACCTGTGAAACAATAAAGCACTATATTGACAAGAGATATTTGTGTCATAAGGCAGGAAAAAGCCTAATGTCTTTGAGAATAAAAATAGGCACAGCCAGGCTGAGGTAAGAGTGGGAAGCAGGCGTCTCAGCAAGGCTTGGTGGGGCTCCGGGGTGGGAGCTGCCTCTTCTGACTCTCCAAGGGGCCCCGATATTGAAAAGGGCAGTAGCACCATGGACGAGGCAGCGCCCCTCCAGTGACTTAGAAAGTGCTGGCACGGGAGGTGACTGAGAGCCACATGCACCCCGCCCCCCACTGCGTGGTTTTCAGATGGCACCTTACCAGGTGCCAGGTTTCCCAAGGAGGGATCATCAGTTTATGGTGACGCTAAAGGACAACCGTGGCTTGGCTCCTGGGCACGACGTGTCCGCTTTGCCGAAGGTGGGGTGGTGGCTACGCTGGCTGGCGGCCTGGAAGCCTCTGGCGGAGCAGCGGCCAGCCAGTCCCACCGCCGACAGACTCCCCGACCGCCCGACTGCCGCGGGGCGGGCGTGTTATCTGCTCCCCAGGAAGCCCGGGTGCCTGTTGGCCACACGCGTGCAGGAGGCACAGCAGGCCGTCTTGTAGTAGTTGTAGACACACAGTCGCGCCTGGACCACCACGTTGCAGTTGTAGTACCTGTCTTTGCAGTTTTCATCTGCAGCAGAAGAGAACAGAAAAGACTCTCTGAGCATAGAGCCAGCCCGGACCCATGGGAAGAGAAAGGACAGTGGACTTGGCTTTCCATCCTGGTCCTGCTTTAGTACCCATGGGAGGTGCAGGGTGGGCGAGGAGCTTATGTTTATCTTTCCTTTTTTTAAAAAAAAAAATTTTTTTTTAACGTTTATTCATTTTTGAGACAGAGAGAGACAGAGCATGAATGGGGGAAGGTCAGAGAGACGGAGACACAGAATCCAAAGCGGGCTCCAGGCTCTGAGCTGTCAGCACAGAGCCCGACGCGGGGCTCGAACTCACGGACCGCGAGATCATGGCCTGAGCCGAAGTCGGACGCCCAACCGACTGAGCCACCCAGGCGCCCCTATCTTTTTCTTTTAAACATGGTAACAGAATGGACGGTGTCCTCCCTGCTCCCCAGCAGAGACACAGTTCCCAGAGTTCACTCCGCGGCCACCTCCCCTTTCTTCTCACCTGCCCCCGAGGTCATCAAACCCCACATTTGGTATTTATTATCCCCAATCCTTTCTTCATATGCGAGCTGTGAATGATCGTGCCCCAATCACTATGTGGCATTTAAACTTCAAAAAAAAAAAAAAAAAAAGCTACAGATTGTATACATTCCTTGGCAACGTGCTGTATGTTGACTTTGTGTGATTCGCTCATGTTTAACGAATGCTCTGCGGGAGTTCATTTTCATCGTTACGTGCCGCAACTTATGGACCCATTTTCCACTGACAGTTTTCCATTTTTTAAGGCCGCAAACACTGCTCCTTTCAACAACTGTTACACATCCCCTTATCTGGGTCCTGCTGGGTCACAAGGTAGATGCAAACTTACTGGATCCCATCTGATGGCTCTCCCAAGTAGGTGCAACAACCGACATTTTTGTCAGTGGTACAGACGAATTCCCTTTGTGCCGCATCTTTTTGCTGATCTGGCGGATGTGACATTATCCCCAAATGAGGTCACGTGTTGTCATCATACGCATACTGGCCATTCGAGTTTCCTTTTCTGTGAATTGCTTTTCCCATCTTTTGACCAATTGCTAATTTGGTTAACTTAAAACAAATGATTCAAGGACATTCTTTGCATATAATGGGTCTGATCCTTTTTGTTCATTGTAGGTGTTGCAAATATGTTCTCCACGCCTGAGGCCTTTCTTACCAGTTTGCCTAGTGTTGACTGGCAAATAGATTTTATTTTTAATATAATAGGCATTATAACATTTTACTTTGTGGTTTGGGATTTGTGTTTCTCATCGAAGAAATGATTCCCTATGCTAATAGACATATTTCCGCATATTCTCTTTTAAAAGTTACAAAAATTTCTCTTCACGTTTATTTCCCTAATTCACCCAGAATTGATGCGTGGGCATGTGCGGTGACAAGGAGGAATTCAATTTGGATTTTTTTCTCTGTGGGTAAACAATTGTTTCATTACCATTAACTGATTGTTCGTGTTTCCTCCCCAGATTTGTAATGTTAACTTTGCCCATGTATCACAAGCCACTCTATGCTCGAGTGTATTTGGGGAACTCTATCCCGTTCCTTTGGTTTAGTTATCTATCTTTGTGCCAGTATCTCCTGATACATCGTAGGATATGTTCCCCAACATTGGTCATTATCAAAATCACCTTGCCTATTATTATTTCTTTGTTTTTGCTCTTCTGTGTAAACTTTAGACACTGTCTGTTAGATTTTTCTATGAAAAGCCCTGTCTAGATTTTGATTAATGTTGCTTGAACTTACAGATTAATCAGGGAAATAACTGACATAATTTCAGATGCTTGCTTTTTGATATGCCTCACAAGTATATTTAATCCATTTATGCATCATGACATACAGCTTTACCACATTCTTTTCAAGACGTCAATTCTGTCCTATGTGCAGTAGCATAATTAGCCATTTCCTTCTCCCGGTAGAAATGTAATTGCTTCCAATTTCTATGAGTCACAAGAAATTCTACAATTCAGTCACTTATCAATTCTACACAATTTTCCCAGCCCTATTCCTCATGTATGTGCATATCCATACATTTTTGAGAGCAAAGCTTGAGTGTAAATTTCCGGAAGTAGAGTCACTGAGTCAAAGACACCGAATACTTTGTCTATTGAATGATAGTGCCAAAGTTCTCCTAGAAGATTACATTCCCCCCACAACTTTGCCAACAGCGAATACTGTCCAATTTTTAAAAGTTTTCCAGTCTTAGGGAAAAGCACAGACTACCATTATTTTTAAAATTTGCCTTTTTGATGTGCTAGTGAAGCTGATTACTAACTCCGCCTCTTCCAACTATGTTTGTTCGTATCTTTTATCCTTTATAAAATTGGATCACTTGTCTTTTCAGGTACACAGCAAAACTGAAGGAAAGGTACAGAGGTATAGGGATTCTTTTCTTTGTGAGACAGAGAGAGAGAGAGAGAGAGAGAGAGAGCACAAGCGGGGGAGGGGCAGAAAGAGAGAGGGAGACACAGAATCCTTAGCAGGCTCCAGGCTCTGAGCTGTCAGCACAGAGCCTGACGTGGGGTTTGACCTCATGAACCGTGAGATCATGACCTGAGCTAAAGTCGGATGCTTGACTGAGCCACCCAGGCGCCCCTCTTATCTTTTCTTTTTAAACTAATTTGTGTGAGTTTTATGTATATTAAGGATTTGACTCTGCTTGAGTGGCATTGATTTGATTCTTTGATTCTAAGATATGGTCAGTTGTGAGGTGATTTAGTAACGGCTCTCTGGAATTAAGTGAAAGATTATAAGAATGTATGTAGATTTCAGAAACCTGATAACAGCATACGTTTGCGCATTTACTCACACACTATTTTCTTCTCGAGCATTATAACCAAATGTGCACCTGAGCCATCTTTGCTCTCCCAGTGTATACAGATTCTTGCTGGGTGCAACTGTCTGGGATACACTTTGTGCTTCATAACTCTGCCTCACAGCCTGGACATTTTTAGTACCTTTGGCTCTGATGGTATCGATCGGGATCAATCTGAGGCATATGAAAGAATACCACGGTCTTGCTTACATTTTCTCTTTTGTTAAATCTCATAGTTTTCCTTTTCCTGAATTGAATTTTCTATAATTGGAAACTAAACAGTTTTTTTTCGTGTCCTTGCAAAGACACCATAGACAAGTGGAAAAGACCAAAGCAGATGGTAAAAAATTTCTATCACATCAAATTAGTTAGAAACCTGGAGGAGATGTCTGCTAGCTGAGGGCTAGCCCTTCAGAATACACGAACCGTTTATGCCAATCACTCCCAGCTTGCAAACTGTACAATCAATTCTATGGGTCTGGTAATTTTGGCTGTCTTTAATTATCTTGGGCTGGCCCGAGACAAGTAGACAAGTTTATATACACAACTTTTCTTTCCAGCGTTGAATTACTTTTTTTAAAAAACAATTTACCTAACAATTTAGGATCCACATTTAAATGAATGCTTTAATTATGTGCTGCCAATGTAAGTACGTTGATGGAGGCGACATCTAGGTGAACATGTTTGTGTGCATGAATCGGCAATGGTACTTCTGTCACTCTGGGCTCTGGCTCCTGGCTGGACGGTTTCCTCTCATATTGATTGTGTCACATTGCAGTAAGGTGTATTTCACGTTGTCTCACTATCGTTCCTCATTCTCTCTCTCTTTTCCTTTCTTCGCTTCTTTCAACTTGGGTTATGATGTCTGTGATGGTTCATTTTGTGTGTCAACTTTACTAGCGATGGGGAGCCCAGATTGAAAGTGATTTCCGGGTGTGTTTCTGGATGAGGTTGCATTGGAACTGACGGGCCCCGTAAAGCAGGTGGCCCTCCCCATTGCAGATGGGCCTCATCCACTGAGGGCCTGAACAGGACGTAAAACAGAGGAAGGAGGACTTTGCCCCTTTTCTGTCTCACTGCTTGAGCTGGACATTTCATGTCGTCATCTCGGCTCTTGGACTGGGATTCACGCCATCAGCTCCCCCTGGTTCTCAGGCCTTCAGACTCAGATTGAATTACACCAGCAGCTTTCCCGAGTCTCCAGCTTGTGACGGGTAGATTGTGGGGCTTCTCAGCTTCTACAGTCATGTAAGCCAATTACTCATTTCTCCCTTCTTTTCTCTCTTTACCTATCTATCTATCTATCTATCTATCCATCTACCTATTTATCTATCTATCCCTCTCTCTCTCTCTCTCTCTATCATCTATCATCTATCTATCTGTAATCTTTTGTCTACCTACCCACTTATCCATCCGTCTATCTTTCCTATTGGTTCTGGTTCTCCAGAGAGCCCTAATACAATGTTCTTAACAGAAAAATGTTTTTAATTAATTATGTTTTTACATTCAGCAATGAGGCCTCTGAGTTTTGGGTCTAGTTTATGAAGACTTAACCAACTCTGAGATGTATTTTCTCTGGCATTTTTACAGTATGTTTTTTTTTTTATGTAAGGATCTTCAATCCATTAGGCACTTGTGTTTCTATATGGCATAAGGCAAGATTTAAGATGTTTTTCTTTGTTTTTTCAAATGGATCTTCAACTATCTGAATACAGTGGAAATCTCTCCTTTCCGTACTTCCTTAATATTAGACTATCATACTTCACTTCCTTGGTATAAAGGAATCTGTTTCAGAATTCTGTATTATAACATTGATATGCCTGTCTCTTCCTGAATCAGTAGCATATAGTTTTAATTTATGTAGTTTTATAATATGTTCAAGTATATGATAAGGCAATATATTAAATTTTTTTAAATGTTTATCTATTTTTAAATTTTTTTTTTCAACGTTTATTTATTTTTGGGACAGAGAGAGACAGAGCATGAACGGGCGAGGGGCAGAGAGAGAGGGAGACACAGAATCGGAAGCAGGCTCCAGGCTCTGAGCCATCAGCCCAGAGCCCGACGTGGGGCTCGAACTCACGGACCGCGAGATCGTGACCTGGCTGAAGTCGGACGCTTAACCAACTGCGCCACCCAGGCGCCCCATGTTTATCTATTTTTGAAAGAGAAAGGGAGGGAGAGAGAGAGTGAGAGAGAGAGAAGCACAAATGGGGAAGAGGCAGAGAGAGGGAGACACAGAATCCGAAGCAGGCTCCAGGCTCTGAGCTGTCAGCACAGAATCTGATGCAGGGCTCAAACTCACAAACTGTGAGATCATGACCTGAGCGGAAGTCTGATGCTTAACCGACTGAGCCACCCAGGAGCCCTGGCAATCTATTTGAACATATTGTATGCTGAACCCCATGAACCTTATTTTATCCTCTTTATAGTATTGAGTGTTCCCACCCAGGAACAGTTAGTCTCTCTATCCATTCACATTTCCTTTTATGTTCTATACCAAGGTTTTCTTACTTTTAATTATCATTTAATATTAAAAAAATAGATTTAGACCTTTCTTATTAATTTTCTTCCTTACACTGACTTGTTCCTACAGTTAAAAGCTGAACTCTCACTACTTTGACCTTAAAGATAATGGAACCGAATCTCTGAAACCATTAGCATTTTAATCAGTTCACATTTAAGTTTGGAGGGTATTTTGGATCACCATCCATGCTATGAACAGTCATCTTAAACTGTGAAACTTATCACACTGAAAGTATTTTGACCCCCTGAACCCCATGACTATGCACAAGGTCATGGAGAGATTTAGATGGGCTTGGCATTTTCATACCAGAGAACTTGATGGAGTTTAAGAAGGATGTATCTTTTCTCCTAGAAAGGAATCCCAACTTACCAACTTCAGGGACACAGTCCTGAGGGTTACAAGATTCTTTCTCTCCTGGTTTCAACTGAGGGTCACAGAGATTGCTTAGGGTCATGTCATCTGACAGGCAGCGCACTTCCCGGACCCGGAAGCCACCCTGGCAGCTCTTGGAGCACTGCATGGCGACAAAAGGAGAGCGTTAAGAGATTTTTGACAGTCCATTAGCCTAGCGCGTTGGAGGCGCAGATTTTGGAAGATCTGAAACATCTTCAAAAGGAGACCAAATACTAAAACAAACTCCCATGCGTGCAGCAGCATCAACAACCATCAACTCACAACCACATACACCCAACTATACCCCAACCACATCCCCTGTACAACAGCATTTCTCAGAATGTCCAAGGATACCTGCATCCAACTCACCTAAGGAACTTGTTCAAAATGCAAAATACTTGGCTAGGGTGGAGCCAGAATCCGGTCTTTCCAAACAAAATGCTGGTTGATTCTTTTGCACACACTAAAACTGATGGGGCGCCTGGGTGGCTCAGTCAGTGAAGTGTCCGACTTCAGCTCAGGTCATGATCTGATCAGGTCATGATCAGGTTTGTGGGTTCAAGCCCTGCATTGGGCTCTGTGCTGACAGCTCAGAGCCTGGAGCCTGCTTCAGATTCTCGCTTCACGTTCTCTCTCTGCACCCTCCCTCCCACTTTGCATTCTACTTTCTTTTCAAAAAAATATAACATTAAAAAAAAATTATTGAAGCACCGGGTGGCTCAATCGGTTTAAATGCAACCGCTCATGGTCTGATGATCCAGCTTCGTGATTTAGAGCCTCAGCGGGGCTCCTGTGCTTGTATCAGACACGACACCAACACCCCTGAGCCTGCTCTGTGACTCTCTCTACTCTGCCCCTAACCCACTTACATTCTGTCTCTGTCTCTCTCAAAAATAAACAAACATTAAAAAAAAAAAATTAAAAAAAAATAAAAATAAAATTATTAAAAAATAAATAAGTCAAACTGAGAGTCACTGCGTTATGGCCTCTTCAGTTTAGAGATCAAGATGGTCCCAGCCTCTGGCTCCTCCCACCGAGCAGGCCCCAACAGCCACTGTCTAGAGTAGGTCACTGCAGGGAATCTACTCCAGGGCTGAGCCCAGTGCCTGCACACAGCAGGTGGTCTGGCTGTCTATGGGCGGAAAACAAAAGCGTGATGTACTAATGTGATGTCTATAAAGAGCACCATGACTTACCATGCTCCATTCTGTGCTAAACCATTTGGCCCCACAAGGCTTGAGGTGACACGACTGCCGGCTGGGGGGTCTTTCCAGGAAGGAACATTCATATGGGTCCAACACTTCAAAGGTGTCTACGTTCTTCCTAACACAAATCACCTCCCTCTGTTGGGTACCGCTCCCACACTCGATGGAACACTGGAGAAAAATCAGAGAAGGATGGGTGTCACATGACAGAAAGGGGACGAGAACATCATGCGGTGTCTGTCTGAGTGCTTTTTATCATCAGTTCAGTGGGGATGAGCCCAATGGCACCTGGAAAATATTACTGGACGAAAAGTTGCAGGTGGATTCCAATTTTCCTAACAGCTCTGTGTTTGGAATGGAGAGTAGGTGCCCTGGGTTATCACAGCGCCAGGACTGTGGTGCCCTCTGTGGTGAGACTGAAACGGTTTCTTTTAGACCACCTCTTTTATATAACCCCTCCCCGGGCACACAGGCAGGAACACATCAGCCTGTCAATTTGGTTGTCCCTGTCCAGTAGATTCTGACACTGCTCATTGTAAAACAATGAACCAACATTCTGATGGCTTTGCCAGGTCTCAGTGCGTGGATACTGGGAATGAAGTAGTCTCTTAGAGCCCACACACCTGTGGATGAAGGGCTAAATTAAAATTCTTCGGGATGCACGAACGTGAGAAGATCCAAGACTGGGGACAATGCCCCCTGTGGTCAACCCTCCCCTCCCAACAGGTGGCCAGCAGGAAGCTTTGACGTTGGGAGTCCAAGCCTTTCACTTCCCACCTTGGTGGGAAGTGTGCAGGGGGTAGTCACACAAAGAGGGTGGTCAGACAATTACATGCGTTGGCATATTTTGTTAGTTTCCATGAACACGATGCATATAACTGCTCACCAAGTATTCTATGTAAGTATCTGTTACTTTGTAAAATGTTTTCTGTTCACGTTTGGTTGACTCTTAACACTTCTTGATTACAAAAATTTTAAACTGTGATCTATATTCTTCTAGAGACTTTAAATAATCTACTACCTGTATAACAGCCTCTAATAATTTCTTCAGTTGAAACTCTTAACATTACCTTTACTGTCTGTATGCAGGAACATAATCGAATTAAAAAAAACGGGGGAAAACCCACACATATCTACAGAAAAAAAAGACAAACCCCAAACCAACAGACTATGAATTAAGCACACAGGACATCATAAGCATCACCCTCAGCAATTTCCCCTTTGTGCCCTTTTTTGGGTGGGCGGGGCATCCTCCTAAGACATCCAGAGAATACGTCTTCTTAGTTTGTTTTTCCTATTTTTTTTCCACGTTAGTTTATGATTGATTTGGAGTATATTCAGGTTTTGTCCTTTTCTTACAAATGCTGCAGACAATGACAGCACCGGAGGCAGGGGAGGAGTGACCAGGCTGCCAGGCAAAAGGTCTGGCCTCCCCTGCAGGAGGAGTGAGTGTGTGTGTTAAAGCAAGGGTGGAATAGGAGACATGGAAACTAGTCCAGACATCGTCGCTAAACAGCTCTGTGACTTTAGCCAAGATATTGCACTTCCCCATGGCTCTACCGTCTCACTTGCAAAGTGGCGGTTTGGAAACCTAATCAGAAAGACTCCTCCCCGCCATGACTGCTCTGAGGGTCTGTGTCTGTACTGAGTGCTTGGCAGAATAGCAGAGTACAAACCTTGACCAAAACCTGAAGTTATTTGATGCTATTTTTAGAAAGTCCTTGAAGAGATTAGGCAATTAAGGGAGAATGAGTACATAGCTCAGCCTTCTACCCTCAATGCCCAGAAATGGCAGAATATTTGTGTTAGGAACAAGTGAATGTATGTGTGTATGGCAGGGGCGGGAGGGGGGTGATATACGTGTGCATGCACGAAATAGCATTTGGAAACAGGAAAGGATACTCATCCTTGGTGGAACGGAAGTTATGGGAGATACTAGAATGGTGAAAGGCAGCTGAGACTAAATTGAAGAAGCACATCATAGTTCAAAATGCACATGCAGGAGGATGCCTGGCAACGAGGAGAGTTCAGGTGCTTTGGGTGAGAAGGAATATGAGGAGCAGGAGAGAGGACTCAAGGCAGGGAGAGAGTGGCCGCTAAGGTACTGACCAGGAATAGCTGGGCTGGCCTGACTGTGCCCGGGTGCCTGACAGTAAAGACATCTGCCCCTACTGTCAAAGGGCAAAGTGAAGGCATTCTCAGATTTTCAATGGCTCAGAAACTTACCACTCATGATCCTATTTGAAAGACTTACTGACTAACGGTCTCTAACCAGATAAAAAAGAACCTGGAAGAAGACACACCAGCAAGGACATAAAGCAGAAGTTGGCAAAAGCTGTTGTTAATAATGGTTTCCAGGGATGATGAAGATGTTCTGGAATCAGACAGTGGTGGTGGCTGTACGGTTTTGTGGATATACTAAAAACCACTGAATTGTATACTTTTAAAAGGGTGAATTCTGGGGCGCCTGGGTGGCTCGGTCAGTTGGGCGTCAGACTTCGGCTCAGGTCATGATCTTGCAGTTGGTGACAGCTCAGAGACTGGAGCCTGCTTCGGATTCTGTGTCTCCCTCTCTCTCTGCCCCTCCCCCGCTCATGCTCTGTCTCTCTGTCTCAAAAATAAATCCACATTAAACAAATTTTTTTAAAGGGTGAATTTTATGGCATGTGAATTATATTTCAATAAAAAGATAACCTTTGGGTGGGAGAAAGCTATTTTTAAACCTAAATTTTCTCGATTTTCAGTATTTTCTATAAAATTAGTTAACATTAATATGGAGCTGGATCTAGATGATCTCGAGATCTTTTGGGAGCTATTGTGGATTGAGAAAGTGGAGATAAATAAATGAGGACTTAAGGTTTCTGTTTTCTTTTGGGGGAAGATGTAGTTATAGATAACACAGATAGAAACATAAAACTTTAAAACTGCTAAATATTTGAATGTTATTACCAAATGAATAAAAGTAGAATTTATAACTTCCAAAATGTTAGAGGGAAAAATGGAATTAGAGAAACCTAATCAATGCAAATGTGCAGAAAGTTAAGAAGAAACAGACCCAGAAAGCATGGCAATAACCTAAACAGGAAACACAAGTTAAGATGGCAGGGGGAAGTCCAAACATATAATTGATTGCAGTAAATGTGAATGGTTAAATTTTAATTCTTAAAAAAACAGAGACTTGCTTGAGTGGCTCAGCTGGTTAAGTGTCTGACACTTGGTTTCAGCTTAGGTTGTGATCTCACTGTGAGATCCACTGTCAGCATGGAGCCTGCTTGGGATTCTCTCTCTTCCTGCCCCTCCCCCACTCCCTCTTGTTCTTTCTTAAAATAAACATTAAAAACAACCCCAAACCAAACCAAACCAAAACTACAGAGACTTGCAGACTGGGTAAAAATAAAGTCTTGCCTACAACACGCATACCTTGGAAAAGTACATAAGAAGATGACAAAAATGCACTAGGTGAAATTCGACAACGAGAAATGAGAGTAATGCAAATATCAGGTAAAATATAATTCATGGAGAAAAGCCTAGAAGAGCAAGTGGTATTTAACAGGGATAACTACTTCCACTGAGCAGTGGGAGCGATTATGTGTGTTTGTACACCTGAAGAATTCCTGCAGTTGTACATTGGTGGATCACTGATCCAAGACCAGATGAGAGTGGAGATATCTGCTCAAGATGCCAGTGAAATCCAGACAGATAGGCAGACAAGAGGGCTGTTCTCAATGGCTAGAGACTGTGAAAGACCCCCCAGAACAAAGACAATGTACAGGTGAAGTAAACCCAGAACTGGTGGGGAAGATAGGAAACATCTGTGATCCGTCTAGGCACTGACCTAGATACTGGTGGAATACCCTGAGTAAGAGTTGGGCTACTTTGGCTGCAGGTAGAAAAGAGACTCCTTAAGCTTGACAGGTCTCCTTCTCTTGGATTGGCTTTCTCCACAAGCCTCAACAAGGCCGCTGCTAGCACCCGTGCTCACGATTTCCCAGGTAGTCTCTTCCCCCAAAGCCCACACTAAAAGTCCCAGAGAAAAACTCTGCTTGGCTCGGCTTGGGTTACACGTCCACCCTGGACGATTCACTGTGACCAGGCTAGTGGGGTGTTCCAGATGCAACTATCGTTCAAACCACATGGATGGAAGCAACATTTATTTTTATTTTAGTTTCAATGAATAAGCATGCTCTACTTCATTTTCTCTGGGGACAACATCAGATTCCCAGGGTATGGAGGTGCCCCCAGACTCCAACATCCTCATAAATCCAGAACGAAAACCTTGTCACATTCAGTCATGTCCTGACCCTTTTGGACAACAGGGCAATAAATTCTGTTTCTAATCCTGGCAGAAACAAACACTGCCTTCACCCAGATTCACATCACTCTCAGTTCTCTGAGTAGGTCAGGAGTCAACAGGAGGCCTGCCAGGAAAAAAGACCCTGAGTCCTGCTCCCCTCTCGTCTTGGGAGATTGGTAGACATTCGCGTTGAATTGTACTGCTCATCCTCACCATGTGAGGGCTGTTACAATTTCCCATAGGGCTCTTGCCGTTGCCTCGGTTTCTGTGGGTGCGTCGTGTAATACAGCTCCTTCTGAATTATCTTTGGGATTCAGGTCCCACGCCCTAAGTGTGTTGCTATCAATAATGACACAGAAATAGCCGGCAGACAAAATCATAACCATGGGGAAAAGGGAACTACTATTTATTAGCTGGTATTCTTATCCTCATGTTTGGATGGGGAAATGGGCCCACAGAGGTTAAGCTGACTGCCCCGAGTCAGAAGAACTACAGAGAAATAGGGCTGGGGTCAGTTATCAGGTGTTTTCTGCCTCTGATACCCACTCGGGTAGCACTCTTTCTTTCTGAATTTTCTATATTTTACAGTTTGTATTATAAAAACATGAAAGGAAACTTGAGAAGAAAACATTTCCCCCTGTTGTTCATATAAAACCCCATTCTTTGAAGCGGCTGAGATGACATTCATGTATTTTCATATTCTGGTTTTCACTTGCCACTATATCATGTGTACTTTCTACGTCTCCCTAATTATCACTGTTGTTGTTACATGATATTCTAATGAGTTATGATATACCATAATATCCCTACGTGCCCTGCTGTCATGAACACCTCTGTTAAAAATGCCTTTTTTGCCCCCCTTCTGGTAATTATTTTCTTAAAAAGAATCCCCAGAAGCAGGGTGACTGGTTAAGGCAAATGAACATTTTTATGGTTCTTGACTTTTATTGCCAAACTGCTTTCCAAGGGGGTTGTATCAGCTTACAAGGACGGGGCAGTCCATTTTTTCAGGGTCTGTTTTTAAGGATACTTAAAAGAAATAAAATTCTTTTTTTTTTTTTAATTTTTTTTTCAACATTTATTTATTTTTGGGACAGCGAGAGACAGAGCATGAATGGGGAGGGGCAGAGAGAGAGGGAGACACAGAATCAGAAACAGGCTCCAGGCTCCGAGCCATCAGCCCAGAGCCTGACGCGGGGCTCGAACTCCCGGACCGCGAGATCGTGACCTGGCTGAAGTCGGACGCTTAACCGACTGCGCCACCCAGGCGCCCCAAAAGAAATAAAATTCTATATGGAGCCAGAGGTCCTGATAATGTATAAATCATGATCATCAGCCAAAAACGTCTTGGAGAACCAGCCAGCCCTGAGAGCCAAATGCTTAGGGGTCCAAGAACTCAAAGTACTAATGTTAATCATAATGGGGCAGTAAGAAGGAATGATCTTTTTTCCACATTTTCTTAGGGAGTCTGTGTTCAGTTCTGGAACACTGAGGGGGGGAAAATCAATTGATCATTTCAGTTGCTTTCTTAAAGTATTTGGTATTATCTGTTCTTTGTAAGGAACAGCCTCAACTTTTTCTACATGAGCTTCTATTTTCTCCTGTTATTGAGACATAATTGACAACAATTGTAATATATTTAAAATGTACTCATGATGGTTTGATGTACATATGCATTGTGAAAGGATTCCCACAGTCAGGTTAGTCAACCTTCATCGCCTCCCATATTTCTCTCTTTTGTGTGTGAGAACACTTATATTGTATCCTCTCAGCAAATTTTGACGATATGGCATTATCATTATCCTCATCGTGTTATACATTAGATCTTCAGAACTTTTTTTTTATCTTACAATTGAAAGTCTGTCTGTTTTACCCACCTTTCTCTATTTTCCCCACTCCACCCCCACCCCCAGACCCTGGCAGCCACCGTTCTGCTGTTTCTCCAAGTTCCAGGTTTTTTTTTCAGATCCCACATGTAAGTGACACCATGCAGTGTCTTTCTCTGTCTGGCCTATTTAATGTCCTTCAGGTCTACCTGTGTTGCAACAAAGGGCAGGATTTCCTTCTTTTTTATGGTTGAATAATATCTATACTACATCAGTTATATGTATCACATCTTCTTTACCCATCCACGTCTCAACAGACACTTAGGTTATTTCCAGATGTTGGCTACGGTGTATAATGCTTCTACGAACACAAAGGTGCAGGTATCTCTTCGAGACACTGATTTTGCTTCCTTTGCATATATCCCCACAGGTAGTATTGCCGGACCCTATCTATTTGTGCTTCTGACACTCAAATACAGAAATACAGACAAAACTGGCTTTACTGACGATAATAATGGCAGCGGCAGCTATGATGTAGAGTGTATTTGTTGTATGGCAAGCAAATGCGCTGCATTCTTTATATACATTTCCTTCTTCATTTCTTCTAAAAATAACCTCATACAGTGCGGTCATTAGCAGCATTTTATAGACAAAGAAACCATGCTAGACCATACTCTCCTGAGGGCGGGGATATTTGTTTTGTTTATTGATGTAATTAATGTGCTTAGAAGAGCACACAGTAGGAGCTCAAGAAACACTGTTGACTGAATGCAGCTCCAAGAGCATAAGTAGCCTCTCCAGGGTCACGGGCAGCACTGCTGAGATTCAAGCCCAGGATGCCTGGGCTACTCCCATTCCTGGTTCCTGACCCCTCTGCTATGGATGCTCTTATCAGAGACAGACAAACACAGCCAGTTCTGGCCACTCACCTGGCTCCAGCTCCCCGCAAACCACTCCACCTTGCCCGTGCAGGGCCCATTGTCACACGGGGTGGCCTCCGCTGGCCGGTTGTTCCCACAGCCCTCCAGGGGCAGGCTGCTGACGTGGTTGGTCATGCACACCACTGAGCGTGTCCGCACTCCAGCCCCACACTCCGCTGAGCACTGAGAGACAGGAGATAGTTCCATTAGAGGGGACACCCCTACAGGCTCGGAAACCACTTTCAAATGATGTGAAGGAGAACTGAACATCTCATTTCCCTACCAACTCTTTCCCTTCAGAGTCTCTGATCACTTTTCCCTCATAGCCTACTTCATTATGGAGTACCAGTATGGCAACCCCGCCCCCCCATCTTAGATTTTCTGGGACAGTTTTCTTTCCAAATATCCTGTCCCACTATTGCGATTCATACGCTTACACACTTGTCAGACTGCCTGTCTTGGCTTTTGCTTTTGAAAACATATCCAGTAGCAGAAGAATGAGAGCATGAACACTTGGGCCTCTGTCTACCTGCTGGTAGCCGACGTTGGGCTAGTCTGGGGAGACTGGGGAAGTGAAGTCTGCCACCTCATCATTGCCACCTGCTATTAAGTCCCTGAAGGCCACAGCTGTGACAGTGTTAGGAGACAGCTTGGTATAGAGGGAGAGCTTGGCATAGAGGGAACCAGACATATCGATGTTAATATGTCTACTAGCTGGGTGGCCTGGGGCAAGTGACCCAGCCCCTCACGTGTTTGGCATACTCACCTGGACAGCTGGCATAGGACAGGTAACGAATGATGTGCTCTGCGTACAGCAGATGTCCAAAAAATGGTATAAGGGGGCTTTAAAGGGTCAAGTCCTATATCTCCACTCTAAAATAGAGAAACTGAGGCAAGGTCTTCACTTACAGCCACAGAACCACCAGTGATTTGTCTCCTATAATCACACTGTTCTCATCTAGTGCCTAGTAAACACATTCCTGAGCCATACCCTAAAGCTCAAAGAGCGTTCTCCATCTGTCTTGAAATACTTTGGAATGCTGCCTTATTTTGCTTCTCATCCTGTACATGCAGACATTTTCTGGACCTCTTTGTCTGAGTGTTCCCCAGATACCTCATGTCCAGCATGTAAAATAATGGAACCCTGCCTTCACCACCAACCCCATTGCTACTCTTGGTTTTCCAAGTTGTGCTCAAATTTCTACCAGGATTCAAAAGTTGACTGTTCTTCTGAGTTCTTGCTTCCAACATTCAGCCAACGATCAGGTCTCACAGATTCTGGTTTGACCACATTTTTTCTTTTCTGCCCATGGCTCCCAGCACTACTAATGCTCTTCCCCTGGACTGTGGTCACAGCCCGTTACTCAGCCTCATCACCCTTTCTAATTTGTTGGGCTTCCAGGTGTTGGGACTGCCATGCTGAAAGTCCCCCTGATGCCATCCCATTCCAACATGGATTTCCCCACCTGACATCAAAGCTTTTCTAGAAGATGACCTCAGTCAACCTCAGCCAACCTCAGTCTTCTAGGCTAACTCACCATTATTCTATCCCACACACCTCATGCTGGACAGAGCCAGGGTCCTCCATTTGCCATCGCATGAAGGGCTCACTGGACCTTGGCCATGCTGTTCCTTCTATCTACCTAGAGCGCTCTTCCCCTTCCTCAGGACACACCAAAATCTGTTAAGGCTCAGCTCAGATGCCAGTGAAAACTCCCTGCATTGCCTGATTCAATACTCTCTTTCCAGCCTCAGGATTCTCAAGGCACTCTGCATTCTACCGTCTTCTTCTACTGTTACTTATGTCCTACTTTGCTTTATTCTTTCCTTTATAGAAGTAGGCTCAGTGAAGGAAAGGACTATGGAATCATCTTTAGTTCCTTCTCAGGTCAGCAAATCCATGAATATCAGTTGAAGAAATGAATACAGACTTGGGTCTTCCTTGCTCATTTCTCTTCTGTAACCAGCACCTTCCAACCCTGAAAGTGGCCCTTCAGAGCTCAACCAAAGCCTGTTCTAACGGTTTCTGCTGGGTCTTCCCTTAAAAACAGAAGGGAAATTTGTTTCACTAATGTTGCTGTTTTAAAAAAATAAGCAAAAGCGATGTGATTTAGAAAAAATTTGAGGAAAGAAAAAAATACAACCCTGTTTCCTTATCAAAATTTTCATTTTCTTTTTTTGTACATTGCTGTCTAGTCTTGCAAAATCACAGCCCAGGATGAATAATCAAACATTTATATGACCACTGCTGGGCTGGGCCTGACTCCTCAGGGAGGAAACTCTTTGTAGCTTGAAGGGGATTAGAATATGCCACCCCATAATATGCTGCTTTGACCTATTTTTAATTTAAGGTGATTGAGAAACATCAGATCCAGGAAGGGCTCTCTGCCTTCCCCCTTCCTGCCTAAAAGCAGTGCATAAGTTTCCTGTGAGAAATTTCGGCCTAGAACCAGGAAGAAAACATTTTTTGTTTTTGAGGGAGGGTACAGAGACAGAGGGAGAGAAAAAGTCTTAGCCAGTCTCTATGCCCAATGTGGGGCCCAACGAGGGGCTCGATCTCATGATCCTGAGTCGAAACCAAAAGTCAACACCCAATCGACTGAGCCACCCAGGTGACCTAAAGAGAACATTTTTATAATTGCCGTTGTGGAGCTAATGCCAAGAGGAATGTAGACAGACTTTACTAAAATAACTCTAATCCTCCATTAGTTTCCCCCCATATATAGACAAACTTAACTAAAATAACTCTTATCTTCCATTAGTTTCTCCCATATATTTCTCAGCCACTTTCCTACAATTTACTGTCCTGGAAGCCCCAACGCCTTTCCTTGGTCTAGTCACTTCTTCAAAATTTACCACTCTTTGTTAAAATGGTATATAAGCCCTCAAGTCTAGCTGCTTCTTTGGGATTTTCACTTCTTTCTTATTAAGCTCCTTGTGCCATGTAAAAAAAAATTAACATTAAATAAAATTTGTTGGCTTTTCTCTTGTTAATCTGGCATTTGTTAGTTTAATTTGCAGGCCTCCATTGCAGAACTCAAGAGGGTAGAGGAAAAGAGCCTCTCCTACAGGCTCACAAATGCTTTGCATGACTTATACTCTATCTGCACTGTTACTGGGAATTTGAGCTAATGAGTCAGTCCTTTTTACAAAAAAGAACATCTTTTCTTAGAGTAACTGGAATATTCTAGGCTAAAGGGTTTTTTTTATTTGTTTGTTTGTTTCAGCTGTATATTATCTGGTCTCTTTCTTAGCTTCAAACACTCAAGATAGTTAAATCCTCCTGAAGAATACAAGGTGAATTGAATCTAAGTTATCTTCCTGTTTCAAACCCTAAGAATATTTCTTTCCATGTAGTTTCCATTTGACCTACTAACTTAATTTCTGCTTTCCAAACCAAGTCATATACACGCATCTGGGAAAATGTCCTCAGACCCCCATGTGCTTAATTTTAAAGAAGAATGTTACGGGTCGAGCCAAGTACCCAATGAGAGAACATTACAGGGATGAACCATGTAGAGGAGCTTGACTTTAGCATACAACCGCAGCGAAAAGCACAACACATTTCGACTTGAAAGTAGCTACCCACCCCAAACCTGGCTCAGGAAGTCTCTCAGCAGGAATCAGGGGGAACCATGGATCTCTACCAGGAAGCACAGACTACCTTTCAACTTGAGGCACCGAAACACACCCACTCACTGTCCCTGAAGGATGTGCCTAAAAGGGCCAGATCCTCTTGGTAGTCAGAAAAGGACCTGACTCCTAACTGAACCTCTGGGCCGATAAAACACTGAGAGGCATCATGAAATGCCTAAGCAGCCCTGTGGTGAGGACTGTCCTCTCTCTCCAGCTACAGCCAAAATGCTAAACTTGGCCCAACTGGGGCTTGAGGGACTAAGAGGCCATAATGGCTATTCCTGAACTTCAGGTTCCTGTATCATCTTCTGTAATTAACAAAAAGCTCAATGTTTTGTTTCTTCTCTTGGAAAATATCCTTAAGACATGAGGGTGGTGGACTTAAAAAAGTTAAAAAAATTTTTTTTAAACGTTTATTTATTATTGAGAGACAGAGAGAGACAGAGCGTGAGCAGGGGAGGGGCAGAGAGAGAGCGAGACACAGAATCTGAAGCAGGCTCCAGGCTCCGAGCTGTCAGCACAGAGCCCAATGTGGGGCTCGAACCCATGAACTGTGAGTTCATGACCTGAGCTGAAATCGGACGCTCAACCGACTGAGCCACCCAGGCGCCTCCCCCCAATTTTTTTTCTGTTGTGACTAAATATTGCACGTGTGTTTAAACTTGTCACTAAAGTTTATTTTTTGAATTAAAAAGTCAATGATGCCGATGTCTCATAAGGTCCACCCTCAATTAAAAGGAGCTGCAAGGATATTTTTAAGGTGAGTCAGTGAGTCAGAAAAACTATATATCCCTGGAAGTTTAAGAGAAGATTCAGATGTGAATTTACAACCTCAATTCAATCAGGTAGAGATTAATTAACTTTATTTGCAATCGGGCAATAGGATGTGTTCTGGATCCTTTAAGTGTTTGTAAACTTCACTCACACTTTGTCTGATCTCTCCCACTTGAGCTAATTAAATGGAAGCTGGATCTCATTCATGCCTGGCATTATTAAGTGCTCAACACATGTTTCTTCCAGTTGCAAAAAAAATTGCGTGGTTGAGACTACAGCTCAACAGGGTTGATTTTGAGACAAAGCCACTACTTACATGTGAAAGACTGCCACCAGCTGGTCATTCCTGGGGTCTGACCCTTTTTGTGAGGCTAAGTCGTGACTCAAAAGCCCACTCCAAGGTCCCAGTCTCATCTAGGTCATGGTTTCGAATATGTTACCCCTTAATGCTCATTCAGCAACGTTACCAATGAGGAAACTGAGGGTCAGAGAGCGGCTTACTCAAGGTATAATGAGAAATAAGCCCTTGGGGGAAGTGATGCCACAGCCAATGCACTTTCCCTAAAGCCACCTGCATCCCCTTCCCACTCATCTACTCCAAGCACAAACATTCAGGAATAATGACACGTTCTAGGGGTAGATAAACCAAATTTCTTACAACACAGGACTAAACTCACATGGCTTAAAACATCTTTCCAAAAAAGAACAAAAAAGTTCTCCTAACAGAAGAATGAAGTGGTCACCCCTTCCTCCATTTAGAATTTTAAGGCATGAGTTAGATCCATCAAGTACTTATGTTAAAATGCAAAGTAAATTTACATTAGAGGGAAATTTACAAGTCTTTTTTGGAAGGGAAATAAAGAATAGGGGTCGATTCAGTTATAGTAGACAAACAATAGCTGAGTCTAATTAAAAGTCATGCTTTAAAGGTTTCTAATGCCATCAACATGTTTATAATTAATACATACATGAAAAAGGAAGGCTACCAAATTATACATGTGTAGTATTATGATTTGTATCCTTCAAATATGAATGAGTACAAAAGAGATATGTATAAAGGGCGCCTGGGTGGCTCAGTTGGTTAAGCTTCTGACTCTTGATTTCAGTTCAGGTCATGATCTCACGGCTGTGAGACTGAGCCCTGTGTCGAGCTCTATGCTGAGCGTGGAACCTGCTTAAGATTCTCTCTCTCTCTCTCTCTCTCTCTCTCTCTCTCTCAAAAAAGAAAATTCTCTCTTTTTTCCCCTCTCCCCTGCTTGCATCTTCTTTCTCTCTCTCTCTCTCTGAAAAAAAAAAAAAAAGCTATGTATGTAAGGTATGTATGAGTAGGAAAAAGCTTGACAGTAGCTTTTTTTTAAGCTTACAAATCTTAAATTATTATCTGCTAGTGAAGAGATTATTGGTATACTTTTCTGATTTTTTTCATATTTTTTATAATAGTATATGTTACTATATGACCAGAAAAAGTGAATGTTATTATTTTTTGTCCATAATTACATTAGCTCTTTAATTGGAAATACATATTATTTTTTTAAAGTTTATTTATTTTTGAGAGAGAGAGAGCCCACATGTGTGAGCGGGGGAGGGGCAGAGAGAGAGGGAGAGAGAGAATCCCAAGCAGGCTCCACACTGTCCGTGAAGAGCCCAACATGTGGCTCAATCCCACAAACCTTGAGATCATGGCTTGAGGTGAAATCAAGAGTCAGATGCTCTGCTGACTGAGCCACCCAGATGCCCTGGAAATCCATATAATTTAAGTGAAAAACTCTGTGAGAGAAAATGTTTGCAAATGCACATTAAAAAAGCAGAAAATGGCATTTTTACTATTTTATTAAGTGGAGGTAAGTTATTAAGTGTGTAGTCATATAAGAACTTTGATTAAGGGGCGCCTGGGTGGCGCTCTCTCTTTCTCTCTTAAAACAAATAAGTGAACATTAAAAAAGGAACGATGATTAAATATTTTAGATTAAATATTTGAAATGCATTAAAACTCAGTTGTCTTGCATTGCCTATCTTTGCATATAGCCTATTATTAACTACATTGTTTTCTGTAAATAATTTTCTTTGCATTCTAGAATAATGATTGATCAAGATGAAGCATTTCCTGAGAAAATAATTTCAGCTATTTTAGCCTTTACACAAGCATTCTGAAACTTTCATTTGCTCTAGGGAATGTGAACCTTCAGAAAAATTTCTAAGTTTCTAGTCTGTTTGGACATACAAGTCATTGGATATTCATAGAAGAACTTATTACCTTGAGCACTGCATATTCTTCATGAGGTTACATACAATGGATTAAGGATTAAAAGGGTTTAAGTGCTCCAGACTTCAAGCTATTTTGTTCCTTTGTTTCATAACTTAAATTGGTATCATAAATTCTGTGTTTGTATCATAAATTTTTATATTACAGGACACCGATATTTTAGCTGCAGTTTTTATGTATATCTGACAAAAATTATTTTCATCTAACGTTATTAAAAAATTTTTTTTTCAAGTTTATTTATTTATTTTGAGACAGAGACAATGTGAGTAGGGGAGGGGCAGAGAGAGAGGAAGAGAGAGAGAGGAAGAGAGAGAGAGAGACAGAAACCTAAGCAGGCTCCTAGCTGTCAGTGCAAAGCCGGATGTGGGGCTTGAACTCACGAAACCGTGAGATCATGACCTGAGCTGAAACTGAGTCAGATGCTTAACCGACTGAGCCACCCAGGTGCCCCATCCAACATTATTTTAAAAAGTCTTCCCTACAGAAAAATGAAAGCCCAGCGTCATTTTTTATTCATCTGCTTGTGCACTAAATTTGCCCAGTTTACTCTGAACACAAAGGAGTTCTGGGATGGCTAGAAATCCAATAGTAAATTCCCTATTTAATATTCATTGGGGTGCAAAGGAGAACTAATATTCTTTCACACCCAGTGCTCCCTCTTGGAGCCCCTCCGTCTTCCTATAAGGATAGAAAGCCTGCGAGAGGTCGTCTCTGGGCCTTTTCCCCAAAGTCAGAAATTACCCTCGTAATTTTTAGTAATCCTAGTAATTTCTAGTAAGTCTAGTAACTTGTAGTAAGTCTGGTGGTTTCTAGTAAGTCTAGTAATTTCTCGCGGGCGAGTTGTCTTGGTGGTGTTGGGGCGCCCGGTAACACGTGGACCCCGGGCCTGGCTCCAGAACCCAGTGTGCGGCCGCCATGCTCACCCTGTCCCCCCACTCGGTGAGGAACCAGCTCTTCGCGCAGGGCCCCATGTCGCAATTCTCAATGTCGTTGGGCCGCAGCTTCATGTTGCACTCCTCATCATCCACCACGTCCCCGATGTTGCTCACACACTTCACGTCTCGAGTCCTCTGTCCCACGCCACAGGGCACTGAGCACTAAAACACAGCAAGATCACGTCAGTGGAATGGGTGGTGTTACCTCCGGGGGCCTCTCTAGCTGTGGTGCCCTCGTCCTGGTCACCTGCCACCTGAGCAGGGGACCCACTGTGTGGCTGAGTTCCTCTTTCCCCCTCCCCCGCCACGCAGTGCTGTCCCAGGGGAGGGGGATCCCAGCCCTGAACACTTCACAAGTTTTTTCCCTAAGACCTTCTCGGATGTCCCGCCTACTCTGCTGCTCTGGGCCTCAGTTCTGTCACCTGTAAAACAGGGGTGCAAGAGGGGAAGGACCTGGCTTCTCATGACACGCGAGAGCGATGAGACGCGTATGCACGTAACTCGCGTGGGTTCACCCTTCAGGTTGGCCGTGGGTGGCTGGAACACTCTCCCAAGCCATCGGTCTATTCTGTGGGTTGCACAAAAGGCCTTCCGGAAGCACTCGGACGGGTTCCCTCCAGGAGACCTCAGGGCTGTCCTGATAGGTCTCGGGGTGGGGGCGGGGCGGTGGGGTGGGGGTGGGGAGGCAGTGAGCGCTGCAGGGGGAGCTCTGGAGCGGCGCCCCGCCCCGCCCCGCCTACCGAGGTCCAGTCTGTCCGGATCTGCCACTCGCTGCAGATCTTGAGCTGGCAGGTGCTGGTGGTCTCGGGCTTCTCCAGGTGCTGGCAGCGGTAGGGCTGCACCGTCAGGCTGCGGTTGGCATACACCTGGCGGCACAGAACCTGGCGATGCTGCATGCCCAGGCCGCAGGTCTTGCTGCACTCAGACCACTCTCCGATGTCCCAGCTAGCTCGGGAATGACAGAGAGCGACAGGGACGGGTCAGCGTCGGTCCGCAGGAAGACAGCCAGACCCCGCCCGAGCCAGCCTGCACGGAACCGTCAGAATCCTTCCGGGTGAGGCTCGTCCTAGAGCATTCTTAATGGTCGGCCCAAGGGCCATCGGGCTCCGTAAAGGACAGTAACCCACTTTGGAACTTAGAAATCTTATTCCAGTATTCCTTTTTTTTTTTTTTCTTTTTCTAATTACTCGTCAGTTTCACAATCCTCTCCTGTCCCCTTGCTTTGTCGTTCAGTTAAATAAGACATGGGGCGGGGCGCCTGGGTGGCTCAGTGGGTTAAGCGGCCGACTTCGGCTCAGGTCATGATCTCACGGTTCGTGAGTTCGAGCCCCGCGTCGGGCTCTGTGCTGACAGCTCAGAGCCCGGAGCCTGTTTCGGATTCTGTGTCTCCCTCTCTCTCTCTGACCCTCCCCCATTCATGCTCTGTGTCTCTCTGTCTCAAGAGTAAATAAACGTTAAAAAAGTTTTAAAAATAAATAAATAAGACACGGGCACATGCTCATTACCTATGAGAATGTATCTGTTACTTTGAAGATTACGTTTGGACCCTTCTAAGGGCCCTTCCCCTGTCCTTCCTTCTGCAAGTGTCCTATTTATCATTCAATAGCCAGCCCCGACCTCTCCTGAGACTCTTTGCCCGACTCCTCCTGGCTGCTGTCTTTGTGACTCGCGTTATTCTGTGTACGCAGCTCACCTACCACACTGACCACACGCTGGACTGTAATTCTCTGCTTCCCTCTCTCCTTTCCTCACCAGGCTAAAACGTAATTGCTCCTGATTACCAAAGGCTGGCTGGTCAGGGCTGCAAGTTAACTGTGTGCATCCCGAGACAGGCGCGCGTGTTGAACAGCCTGCAGCTTATGCACAGACCAAGTCTCGTGTTCCTAAATCAGATGTACACAGATTTAAAAACCGGATTGTATCTGCGACTGAGGTCCTATGCACGAGCAAGCAGAAGTGACCCGACAAAAGGCCACCCGCACCGAGAGGCCATCTTACAAGGCTGGGCAAGGGAAGATGTTGCAGGGTTCCTCCTCGGGGGTCGGCTTCATGCTGGAGTCACAGTAGCTCTCGGGAACCTCTTCGTGGGTGTTTCTGTGTACACAGCGAAAAATCGGGAACTGCGATCCTGCAAACACAAGAAGAACTTCTGAGGGACCGTCCCGCACACTTGAATGGTGGAGATGCACAGAGGTACCCAGGTACCGATGAAGAGAGGCCACAGAAACGGAACAATCCATACGCACACACACGGGCCGCCAGGCACTGTGGGTACAAAGAAGGGTAGGAATAGTCACTGCCCTCGGAGAGCTTACGATCTCTTTGTGGACACAACTGCTAGAGGCAGGCAAAAATAGTTTTCGTAACAGTTCAAGATAGCACTAGGCAGGAGAGAGATTGTGAGCACTAGTAATAACCGTTTGCAGGTTTTCTGGAGACATCACAGAGAAAGGGTCCCAGAAGCCCCAGCTGGATCCTAGAGAACGGTTGGGTTTGGGCAGCTGTGTGCACATGTGTCTTGGAGGGAGGGGGCCGTCCAGGCAGCTGAACGTGTGCCTGTATGATGAAGAGGCAGGCTGAAGCAGAGAAGTAGGAAGATTTAAGACAGGCTAGAGGAGCAGCTGGCTTCCCCTTTGTAAAGCATCTCACACATTCCCCGAATAAAGTACTGATCCAATGGTATTTTTAGGTATTTGAGTGGATGTCTGCTTCCCATGAGACAGTGAGCTTCTCAGAGACAGAACTCATTCTTGTCCATCCCTGTAATCCCAGTACCTAGCAGAATAACAGCTGCTCAATAAAAATGCTGAATGGCTACTTATCAGAGATCTAATATTTGTTTTTATTACTTTGCTACAAAAAATCATACTAACTTCTTCGGGGTTTTTGTTGTTGTTTTTTGTTTTGTTTTAAACACTTTTTAAAAAAAGTTTTTATTTATTTTGAGAGGAGAGAGAGAGAGAGAGAGAAGGGGAGAGGCAGAGAGAGAGAATTCCAAGTGGGATCTGCACTGTCACTGACTCACCGAGCCAGACTCGGGGCTCAGAGTCACAAACTGTGAGATCGTGACCCGAGCTGCAACCAGGAGCCAGACGCTCAACCGACTGAGCCACCCAGACGCCCCTGTTGTTTTGTGTTAAATACACAGCGGAGTTTCACTGGCTTCATGAGATAAATCTGTCTTGGAGAGAAAGTCAGAATTTGTTAAGTGAGATCTGTCGCTTTCAAAAAAAGCCCTTTCAATTCTGCCTTCCTCTCTCTGCTGCTCCCTGGTGGCAGCTCTGGAGTATTACTAGTGAAGGTGTACAAAGAGAAAAGTCATCAGGCCAAGCAACGGTCTGAAAAATAAGTTGCTTCTTCACAAATAATTGCCTGTCCCCGCAGCCAACCCCCAGTCGAGGCCACTACACAATTCCTGCTGGGCAGAACACTATCACTTATTCTACAGCTCTGTCTTAGCTCTGTTGCTAACTGGCCAGGCGTTCAGAGTTTCTGAACTTCCAACTTGCTACAATTTAATTGAACCTGGAGGGATAACTTTTAACATAAAGGTCGCAATATTTCATCAGCCGTGAAAAGTGTGTCAATGCTTGTTTCAGCTGATCTTGTGTGATGATCGAGCCAGAGGGAAGTTCTCGTAAGAAACTCGACAGTTTGTAAGACAGTTCTGAATCTGAAATGGTCATGTGTTTCAAAACCACTCTGCTAGTAAAAATTTCTAAGGCGGCTATTCCTTGAGACCATTATTTAAAGTCATGTCTCAATTAAGTATAATTGTTAGCTGAGTAAAAAAGCAGTACTGACTTTTCCCTTAAATTAATTTAATTAATAGGAAGCAAACAATTTTTGTGGAATTGAATTTTGTCTAGTGACATACCTGCTTCCTTTAAGAAGAGATTTTTAATTAAATTCAACGAACATGAAGCACATCGTGCTCACTTCACAAAGATGAATAAGATTCCATTCATGCCTTGCAGGGTATCCATTTGGGACCCAGCTATTAAGGGATTAAGTAAAAATCTTATTATTTATCCCTTTGGACCATGTGGGTCTAACTTTTCTGCTAGCAAGTTTGTGAACTGGAAAGCAAAAGTAACTATTCCAACCACACGGCACGCAAATGAGGGGGCAATTTAATATCTTCAGCTAGAAGGATGCAGGTAACCATAGCAATGCTCTGTGCCTCGGAGAGATGGGTTCTGCTTAGGGCTGTTAGCACTGGCCACTGCCTGCCTCCCCCAACCCCTTACGGCCTTTACAGAGCACTTGTCCACCATTCAGCTCCCGTGTTCAGTCGAGGACATGGGTTCAGAGGCTCTCTCTCTGATGGTGAGAAGGCACCAGAGCTCTAGTGACTCCAGTGACCACAATGGTTTCTTTCTTTGTTGATCTCCGCAGAGAGGGGGACTGTCACCCAAAATGGCACCTGGCCATCTCTTCACTGTACAGTGTGCCATTCAATTATGCCTCTAATTGCTGGCAAGCAAGAATGGGGTGGTGAGGTCAGGTGCTGGCTGGGCTTCAGGCAGCAGGGAAAATCCGGGATCATTTTAGTTGGGTTTTGTGTTGTGTGTGTTGATCAAAACAGGACTCTGTTATCCTGGAGGAGGGGACGGTGCCGCAGGTAATCCAAAATGAGTAACTGAGGCAAGTCAGTGAATTCAGGGGACAGTATATAGAGGCCGGTGAGGCACTGTGGAGAGAGGGACAAAATACGGAGCAAGAAAAAAATTAAATCACCCTAGTCTTTGTACCCTAGGAATCAATGGGGCCAAGCCAAAATTTTGACCAGAGGTCTGGGCAAAATGCTGGATGGAGTACAAGCCATCTGGGATGCTCGGGGCGGGGCCCCTCTCTGTGATGGTGATATCGTGATGCTGAAAGCATTTCCCCAAAAGGGAGGTTTTCACACGAGACGTATGGAAACGTGTGGTCTGGTGAGCTCCACCAGGACTGGAGGAGGTCTGTGTAGGGACAAGTGGTGAGGTTGCAGGGGGTGTGGATTTGTGTTGTGCATAAAAGAGCTGGGCGGCAGGGGCGCCTGGGTGGCGCAGTTGGTTAAGCGTCCGACTTCAGCCAGGTCACGATCTTGCGGTCCGTGAGTTCGAGCCCCGCGTCGGGCTCTGGGCTGATGGCTCAGAGCCTGGAGCCTGTTTCTGATTCTGTGTCTCCCTCTCTCTCTGCCCCTCCCCCGTTCATGCTCTGTCTCTCTCTGTCCCAAAAAAAAATAAATAAACATTAAAAAAAAAAAAAAAAAAAAAAGAGCTGGGCGGCACCAGTAGGCTCAGAAGGTCCTGGTCCCAGCACATCTGTCACTACTGCTGAGCAAAACACTGCCGCATCCACGCTGCCTCGTCTGTCCTGCAGGTGTGGCCACTGCTGCAAACCTTCCAGGGAGCCAAGGGAGGGGCACCCCCGGCTGCTGCCATTTGTCACGAGGGAGAGCAAAGGGGCTGGGAGTACAAGTTGCGGGGGTGGGGGACAGTACATCTCTGCTCTTGTTTGATTTCCAAGGCACGTCTTCCGTGTCTCTTTGACTGGACAAGCCGTGCTGTTTATCAGGGTAAAGAAGAGAATGCACACGTCATCCTGGGCATCTGAGGGGCAGATGACGTGTGTATATGTGTGTGTGGGTCCACAATGCAAAAGAGAAAGACTCTATTAAGGACGTTAAACAAGATAATATGGAAATCTAGAGAAAAAGATTCTTCAGTTTCGAATACATAAATCCACGCTCTTTCAGCTACGGATAAAACACAAGTAAGGCAACACTAGCCTTGCGTATCTAAGATATAATGAAGATGTAAAAGCCACTCTTATACGCTTTCTAAAAGCTGTCTATACCCCACTTGAGATGTGGTGACAATATATTCGTTAATTCAAGAATCACCTGAGGGGTGCCCCTGTGCGTGCTTGGTACGATCCCAGGTGCAGGCAACGCAAAGTGTGTGTACATGCGGGGGGACCGCTAGGCCACACGGAGCTGGGACAAAAATGTGTCCCGAATTGCCGGGAGGTCCCGTGGAATAAGTGGGACCTTGCAGAATTGGGAAGGGCTTCCCAGAGGAGATGTATCTGTGCTCATTCAGCAGGTCTAAACAGTTTGCTGCCTCCATACCAGAGAATAATAAGGGAGGCAGATTTTTTATCTCCATGCGGATCACACAGACTGGGGTTGGCTGGGGGGGAAGATAACCAGAATCTTTGGAGATGGGGTGCCTCCATCATGCCTGGTAGAGAGCAGATAAGAGACCTGTTGAATGACCACCAGGGTAAGTGGCATCTATTCAGTGAACACAGGACCGTGTGAGCAGCATGAAGGGGCAGCTGGCAAATGGCACAGCTATGTCCTTATCCTATTAAGTCCCCAAGGCAAAACCGAAAGGTCTCTGGACAAGGCTACATCTCACCCTCCTGGAAAGGCTGGGCCAGGCGATCTTTACGGACGTGAAAGGGAAGAGAATCTCCCATACGTGCCATCCTTGATATAAAACCACATGACAACAATTTTTATTTTTATAACTTTCCCTCGTTTTTACCCAGCACAAATGTAAGCAGTTCCTCTAGTGGGCACCATACCACTAGCTACAGAGTATTTGGTAAGAACACATTTGGACCCTGGGTTCCTACGTCACCTGCATTTTGTACTGCTCACCTCTTCAGATTCATGGATGGGTCCTCACTAAAGTGGTTTCGGCCTTAACGTGTAATCATCTCTAGCCTTCTGCCTCTGTTAAGACACATTCTATAGGCATTTCATTTTTCCTCACAGAGCTTGAAAAAGAGGTTAGCCCGGCGAATCTCCAGTCCACGTTCTTTGCACATCAACTAAGTAAAAGCACGATAAAACCTGCACAATATCAGCTCCATAAATCAGTTCTCCGGTTGTCGGTCATCATGGGACTGGTGGGGTTCCAGGTGGGAGGGGCTCCAGCTCCCGTGAAGAACACCCAAATCCCACTCTCAAAAGCCACTAAGCCAACGTGCTTGGGAACAAGATAAAGGCTTTGAGGCGGTGGTGAAAGGCTTTTCCATGCACAAATTCTGTCAAAGTGTCCGGATTTTGTGCCTTCAGGTACAAGCCTCTTGAAGAAAAGAAAAAAAAAAAAAGTCCCCAAACCAATATTCTCACTGTGTCAGTTTCCTGTCCGCAGAAACTTTCTGAGATACAGTCTCCCCGTTTCTGTGGTAACCTCCCCTCAAAGCACAGCTCTTCCAGGGTCACCAATAGGACTTCATTACAAACAGAAGGGTGTTATTATGCATTTGGTATCCCTGCATCACAGTTCCTGGATGGTCACAGGCAAATCCTTGCCCTGGGGATCTAGGCCACCTTGAAACTGGGAAACAGCATTCATTTCCAACCAGGTGCCACAGGTTTGAGAAGGGGTTTCTGGACACCACATTCCACATCTACCTTAGCTTTGGGGCTTTCCAGGAAACAGGGCCCTGGATCGCCTTCACAGTTCAGACCGAGACTGATACTGACCCGCTCGCACACAGCCACGCTTTGTTTTGAGCCTATCACGACCAGCTTTACGTAAATTTCATCCACTCTTCTCCCCAGTCCTGTAACTCTTTTTTCTTTGGTTTAGGGAGATGCCCCGTGTGCCCTCTGGTGTGCGGTCTCCCTTCCTGCTAGGAGTCCACAGAGCTGGCGACGTTGGGCTGCAGGCTTGTCCCTGGGGTCTCAGCCGACGGGGTCGGGATAATGGGATGATACAGCATGAGGGTTTTACAGAAAGGAGAGAGCTGTGAGTGCTGGTGAGCCTAAAAGCCAGCTAACACCTCAAGCCCAGTCAGCACGCTTTTTTCTGGAATCTCAGATGTGAGAATGAGTTTTGTCTGGTATTTGTGTGACCTTACACCTTGTGAGCACATTCTGTGGCCATTAATGAGTGTGGCATGCGGGAGAGGGTTAACTCAGGGTGCTCAGACCCTGCACACTCCAAAGAAAGGCCCATCTTCAGGACCGGCCCCTTGAGCCCGTGGAATATCCGGCTGACAGGGGTGTTTCTCTATGTCTTGGGACCACGCTGTATCAGTGTGACAAGAGAGTTTATGCCGACAATGCGATTCGGGTGAGTGCCTGTTTTTCTGTGCCTGAGGTCTCGGGCCATGTCCTGTCTCTCAGTTTGACTTCTGGGTGCCAATGTCGGTAACGTGGGGGCTACGTGCCTATGCGACTGAGCCACAATAAGCCCCCTGGACACCAAAGCTCGAGGGGCTTCTCCGGTTGGCATTACTTGGCTCCTGCGGTCACCCCTCATTGCTGGGAGAATTCAGTGCATCCATATGCAACTGTCTTGGGATGGGACACCTGGAAGCTGGCCCCTGGTTTCTCCCGGACCTGGCCACACCCGCGTTTTCCCTCTGATGATGCCCGTCTGTATCTTCTCACTGTAAAAGTTGCAAGCCTGGCAGCTTCTCTGAGTCTTGCATGTCCTTCTTGGGGATCGTCAGGCTTGGGGGGGGGGTTCCTGGGGAGCCTCAACACAACGTCACACCAGTGACCAATCCCACAGTCAGGCTCAAGGAGGGGAGGGTTTGCCGCGTGCCTCGAGCCCAGCTACCCGTTCCTCACCGAGTGGCGGGGGCGGGGGGCAGGGATCTGCGGACACCCTCCCGGCCCACACTCGAGCTCACCTTTCCCACAACTCGTTGAGCATTCTGTGGTCCCGAGCTGCTTCCAGTTGTGGTCCCGGCTTCGCCGTGGGGACTGTGGTGCCGCCGGCACCAAATCGTCCGGTCGATGGGGAGAAAATCCATCGGGATGCCTGACTGGGAAGGCCTGTGCTGACCCTGAGGTGAACACTTCAGGCGCCCCACCATCTCCTTCCTTCTCCTCGGTCCTCTCTTTCTCTTCTCGCTCCTCCTGGCTCCTCCCATCCGTTACCAGCTGGCCGTTGAAGGGCTCCCCTAGGAGAGGCAGGTGCACACACAGAAGAGAGATCGGTCTGGACACTGAGTCCCACGGAGGAGATCCCTTCAACATTAGAAATTATGCAGAATGCCACCATTTCTAATTCACAACACATGTGCTTAAAACATGCAGATGCTCATTTCCCTAATATCCAAACCATTATTAAAAGCGAATGAGAGAAAGACGGATGTCTCAGGAGGAGAAGCAGGCAAGGGCCAGGAAGAGGCAAGTCACGTAAAAAGAAATGCAAACAGCCAAAAGTCACACAACAACGCTCAACTTCACTCATAGTTAAAGAACCACATGCTAAAACAAAAACAACCACCACAATTTTATTAGCCTGACAGTATCAGAAACTTTGGAGACCCTAACATCCCTAAACCCCTCATGGAAAGTACAGGGAAATACACTGGAGAAGGGGAGGGTAGATAGACACAAATTTTTGGAGGGCAATTTGGTCACGTCCACCCTCGTTTTACACGCACGTGCCTCCTGACCTAGCGATTCAGTTTCTAGGACATTCATCGTGCAAATAGTCCCATTCTTTTGCGTAAAGCTGCATGTACAACCATGGCTAGTAAAGCGTTATTTGTTTTTTTTTTTTTTAAATATTTTTTTCAACGTTTTTATTTATTTTTGGGACAGAGAGACAGAGCATGAACGGGGGAGGGGCAGAGAGAGAGGGAGACACAGAATCGGAAACAGGCTCCAGGCTCTGAGCCATCAGCCCAGAGCCTGACGCGGGGCTCGAACTCACGGACCGCGAGATCGTGACCTGGCTGAAGTCGGATGCTTAACCAACTGTGCCACCCAGGCGCCCCATAAAGCGTTATTTGAAATAGCCAAACAGTGGAGTGGATTTAAATGTCCACCAGGGTCCTGGTTAAAAACCATCAGGCTACAACCATGAATGGATGCTAGGTTACCTTTTTTTTTTTTTTTTTAAGAATGGAACAACAACAACAAAAAAAAAAACGGAGAAAATATATGTTGTGATATGGAAAGATGACCGATCTGTTGTTTGACGAGAGGAAAAAGCACGGCAGAGTTTAGCCTGCATACACATACATGCAGAGGTGTGGCTGGACACCTCCGGAGATTAAATCTGCTTTCTGCCCCTTGCGTCTGTTCCTCCTCCTCTCCCAGTCCAAGTGGCCAAGCCCTTAGGTTTTCTGGCCTCGGAGTTTTGCAGGAGAGAGAGTACAAGCTGCTGGAAGTCAACAGCTCTTCCTTCCTACAGTGAAAGCCTGAGTTCTCAGGACGGATAAGGAGGCCCAGATACTCAGCCAGTCGAGGGAAAAGAGGGAAAGAAAGGAGGGAAAGGTGGAGAGCATTTTTTTGAGAGACACAGGGAGAGGGAGAAGTATTTCCAAGGCGAGGAGAGGGTGGAGTCAGGGGGCTGGGGCTTCCTGAGCACCGCAGACCTTACTCATGGTGATCTTCACTCCTATCAGGGGTGTGTGGGGGGCCCCATATTGACTGAGATCGAATTTTCTACAAGTTTCAAATAGGTTTGCAGTTGAGGTGAGATCTCAGTTAGACTTCTGGAAAAGCCCAGCATGCAATGTCCCTTGTACACTTGGATTGCAGGCAAAGGTTCCAAGGGGCTGTAAGCGTGTTTCTATGTGCACAGAAAAGGGCTGTGTGGAATCCCACCAAGTTGTAAAGAGATATTCCCTCTTGGGATGGGGTGGGAGGGATGAGGTCGGGGCATATTACCTTTTCTTTTTTTTCATAGACCTTATTCTTTTTTTTTAGAGTAGTTTTAGGGTCACAGCAAAATTAAGTGGAAAGGTTCCATATCCTCCCTGGCCCCACACACGCACAGCCTCCCCCATCAACATCCTGCACAGAATAGGACAGCTGTTGCCATCCACGAACCTGCATCGACACACCATTATCACCCAAAGCCCATGGTTTACATCAGGGCTCAGTCTGGTGACGTACAATTTATGGGTTTCGACAAATGTGTAATGCTATGTACCCACCATTACGGTAGCATTGAGAATAGTGTCACTGCCCTCAAAATCTTCTGTCTGCCTATTCGTCCCTCCCTCCCCCTTTGCCCCTGGGAGCCTGTTTAACGTCCTCATAGTTTTGCCTTTTTCAGAATGTCGTATGGTTGGAATCATGCAGCGTGGAGGCTTTTCAGATCGGCTTCTTTCACTTTAATAATGCGCACTGACCTTTCTTCCATGTCCTTTCATGGCTTGACAGCTCATTTCTTTTTGTGCTGAATAACATTCCACTGTCTGGAGGTACCAGACAGCTTATTCGTCCATTCACCTAACGAAGGATATCTTGGTTGCTTCCAAGTTTGGCCAGTTATGGAGCACTTGTATCTTACTTTATATATTTCTATTTTGACCGAATATTGTTCAAGTTCGATACAAACTAAGGAGGCAGATCCCAGAGTTACTGTAGAATCCGGTTAAAACTTAGGGCTCTCCCACCCTTCACCCGTATTTCTTATTTAGTTGGCTACTTAAGATATTTCATGGCTTAAATTATATGCAGTTTAAATCAACAGAATCAAGACTAGTCATCCCGCTATAAGTGAGACTAAAATGCTACCAGACAAAAACATTTTAAAATCATTTGCGTACCTCGCATACACTGGGCACCGTGCCGGGATGGATACCTGATATTCAATCCTTTTCCACTGCCTGTCGCCTCCAAAAAAATCCTGGGAGTGTAGGGTTTTTTCCCCCTCACCATTTTGTAGACTGGGGATGTGCTCAGAGAGTTCCTGACTTGTCTGAAGCAAGCCAGCAGAAACCAGCAGAGCTGAATTTGAGTTCATGGAGGGTAAAGCCGACTCCCAGAATGCCCCTCCTCACCAACTTTCTATAACTGACTCCTTCTGGGCCTGCCTGCCCCAGGTCATCAATCCCATGCTACCGATCAGCTGAGACTCATCAGGCTTGTTATCAGTCATCATCACCTTATATGATTTCAAGTAGTCTGTCCAATTGCCTTATCGATCAGCATCAGACCCCAGTAACCTCAATATTCTGCCATCTGCACTTGGTTTCTCAGACTATGTGTTGTTCCTGCTGTGCTGATTTGCTGTTTGGACAACACGGGCACCCCATAGGCTTGGCACACACCCTGTTGTCTCCATGCAGCCAGGTGGTTTCTGCCTGACCTGTGACAATCAGATAACCCGGTTATCCATCTGGTGGGCTGGAGAAGGATGGTGGGCCGGGCCTCCTGTGCCCTCACTTCTCAGGACAGTTGTCAGACCAGGTAACTCAAAGAAGCGTAACAGTTACATAGTCACACAGGCTGGCCTGAGGTCCCTGTGGGACCGGGGCAAATAAGTCAATCTAAGCTTCCATTTCCTTACTTTGAAAATGGGGCTAATAATAGCACCTTCCTCTGAGCACTATTGTGATAATTTGATGAGTTAATCTGTGTGAAGGGCTCAGCAGTATCTGGCACAGAGCAAGGACTCAGTGTGTGGGTGATGATACCATTAATATTTATGCAGACCTTCCTGTTCAAAAGATGGAAAAGAAAGTCTCCGTTTGGGTGGTGGGCTCCATTATCATTTGGTAAAGAAATATCTGTGGAGTCAGAGGGCTGCCTGCTGTGTCTATCAGCAAAGCCCACGGGAAAGAGGTAGACAGCTAGGCGTGAACTCATTATTCTTTTCTTATAAGTCAAAGCAGTGTTGACGGAAGCAAAGGGGACCAAGAGAAAAGGCATGAAGTAGACAGAATAATGGCCCTCTGAAGATGTTTGCATCCTAATCCCTGGAACCTGTGAATATGTTACCATATATGGTAAAAGGGACTTTGCAGATGTGAGGAAGTTAAAGATTTGGGGATGGAGACTTGTCTTGGATTGTCTGGATGGGCCCGATGTCATCATCTGCATGCTCACGAGCAAGAGGCAGGAGGACGAGAGTCAGAGACGGAGATGTGATGACGGAAAAATGGGGTCGGAGCCCAAGATCCGAAGGTGCTACTCAGCTGGCTTTGAAGATGCGGGAAGGGGCCCAGAAGCAAGGAGTTCAGGAGGCCTCTTGACATGGAAAGGGCAGGGTGACAGAGCCCCCTAGGGCCTCCCATAGGAGCATGGCCCACCGACACCTTGGTTCCCGCCCAGCAAGACCCGTGTTGGACAGATTCTGACCTCCTGAACCGTATGATAGCAAATTTGTGTGGTTCTGAGTCACTAAGTTTGCGAAAATTTGTTAGGGCAGCTGTAGGAACCTAATACGAGGTGCTTCCAAATGTCGAACTGGAAAGATAGATTCAGGATGTCCACCTCATTTTTGAATCAAGTGAATGAGACACGCTCATCAGCAAAGGCTCAGACAAATAGTAAAGCATTCTCTGATATTAAGTGCGTGCCCATGGGTTTTCTCCATGTTGACTGAGAGACACAAGGGAGATGCACAGGAAGAGACAGGGGGGCTTTAGAAGGAAATAGCAGGCATGCTTGGCAGAAACACAAGAGATTTTACCTGGTCTCCTGTGAGGAGGCACCTGGGGGCTGATGGCGTTGGTCCCCATGATGACGTACTCATAGTGGACTCCCGGATTAGGCTGCTGGTGTATCATCTGACAACACAAAGGTCAATGTCACTGCACTGTCACACACACCTTGCCTGTGGGCCAAGTTTCCGTGGTATAAATGGCACTATCTATTAATGAGTGGGTTGATTCAGATCTAATCATATTAGTGAACCTGTGGCAGGTTAAATGAAAGCTCTTCCTGGATTGTTTTTTGTTCTTTGCTTTTGAAGAATGAAGAACTTGGAAGAAAACTAGGGGGAAAGTTAAGATTTTATACATTCCAAATAGGAAGATGGGACCAATGGTAGCAGAATCTTTCTGTTGGCTCTCAACCATCTTATACCATAGCTTAGTTTGTGCTCAGTGCTCTCAAAATAGCCCAGACAGCCATGTCTACGCTACAGGGGAACACATTTGAACACTAGGTGGCGAGAGAAAATCATGCAAAGAAGAGCCAGCCACCTTGGGCAGAGCCAGCCTGACATCCCTGAGGTTCCTTCAAAGAACCCTATCTGGCCATGAGGCTGGCTCAGGAAAGGTCTGCCCCACCCTCTCCCTCGTTCACGCTCTGGATCTCATCCCGTCTCATCCATGGAAAGTTCCAGAGCCACAGAGAGTTGGGGGGGGTGGGGGGGCAGGAAAACAGGTGTAAGGCAAGTAAGTCTCCCTGGTTCCTGTTCTCTCAGGAACCAATGACAAAAGCAGGATATCAAGCAGGAAGCAGCAGAAGTCAGGAATTAAACACCATCTGGGACAAAAACCACAAAATCAATCAGCAGGCCTTTGCAGAAAAAATCCCTCCCTATTGGCTTTGGAACACAGAGTCCTTTGTGCCTATGGCCTTCCTGGCGAGGGGCAGGGCGCTGGGCTAAATGGAGCAGCAGAATGGGAATCCTCAGTGTAAATACAAGCCAGGCAAGGAGACACTGTCCCTACTGCTTTATAAAGGGGCTCTCCTGTTGGCCAGTTGTATACCCTAGAGCAAGTCCCATGGTCTCACGGTTTTTGATTTCTTCATCTGGAGCAAGAGGTTAGAATCACAGCTATCTCTTGGAATCTTTAAGCCACAAGCGTCTCCAAGTCACTCCTGCTTGGTGGGACCTGTTTTGTTGATGAGAGTGTCCATTCTGCCCGCCATCATCCCTTACCTTCTTCCTACATGTGAAAAGGGGCCTCCATTCTACAATCACCAGTGGGAAGGCAGACATGAGAACCACTGACCTCCCTACACCCAGGAACCATGGTGGTGAGCGCAAAGCCCCAAGGGGGGAAGTGGGGTGACCTCTGTTTCCCACCATCTACCCCTAATTCTCTCGTTTCTCTTTCCACATTATTTAACAGTGGGTCTGAGGCTGGAAACCCTCCCTGCCTCCCCCATGCCTCTTCTGCATGAACATTCTGCCAGTGCAAACCCTGTCCCATTTATGAAATTATTGTTGGCCACTGAATCCCAGACCACCCGCACCGGGCCTTTAACAACCTGGGTTTTTACCCCTGATGCCATTGGAAACTTACCCAGAGTCCAACAACCAACTGGACAGTCTTAAAAAAAATATTCAAAATTAACTATAACAAGGCTTCTTTTATAGTTTCTAGTCTATGAGCCACTAGGCCCAACAAGAATGAACGTGTAACTGTACAGCTGGAGAACGAATATTTATAGAATCCTAAGACAGCAAATAGCATGTAGATTAGCATGGCTTTAGAGATGGGAAGAGAGTACAGGTCTGTGGCTGAGCTTGTCTTTATCAAAACCTGATTTGAGTTTTATGTCTTGTCACCTTTTTTATGTCCTGAGCGTTTTAAGAAGACTGGATTTTAGTGGTTTCTTTGAAAAATAAGGACCATTTTATACTCTTGGGCAACCTAATAATTTAGTTTCTTGTAAAATAAATCCCGAATTGTGTCTTCTGTAAGGCAAGGAACTTGTAGCAAACGTCTGTATTGTTCCTTCAAGCTTTATTGCACATCGTCTGGAGTACTCTGCAGTTCTCATTTCTTCCTTTGCTTTCATAGAATTTGAAGAGGGCTGGGAACTTGAGCGGTCTTGTCTTGCCTTGGGCATTTGCTTTCTTTTGCCATAAAAAGAAAACATGCCAAATTAGCATTAGGAAAAAAGTGCCGGGAGCAGAGCCAATGCTCGTGAAATAAAGGGTATGTTTTGCCTCTGATTTGGTTCAACAAGTAAAAATGGTTTTAAGGGGTCAATAAACTCTGAGGGTAATAAGCATCTGGCAGAGTTTAAGGTTTCTATGAGCTAGGTACATTCAGAGGTGAATGGTGGAGGTGAACGCCAAGCATTTAGGCACCTCAAAGGCTCAGCTCAAATGGTTTTATTGAGCACAGGCAATGATCTGTTGCTTATTTGCGCTCAGGGTGGGACTTAGAAGAAGCAAGATGCAAAATTCAAACAGTCCAGAAACATCCAAACTCACATAGACATCCAAGATCTCATTAGTGGGGCCTTCGGCCAAAAAGGATTCTCCAGCGGTGCTCGAAATCTCATTTGGACGCTTGTAGGTGAACATGGTCCCTCCGCCTTCGTATTTTCCTGGCCGGTCAATTGCCCAGTTCCCGTTGATGATGGAGCGGCCAGAACGACTTCGCAAAGCTGTCGAGAAAAACGAGACGATTCCTCGGGTAAGGGCAGGGTATGCACAAGAAAGTGAAGTGACCCCACGTCAAGTGTTCCATTAGGACCCACTATGCGCTAGGCACTGATCTAGGCCCTGAGGGAGGTGAGGCATCTAGATCACATCCCTTCGGGTTTCTTCAACTTCTTGGTTCACTTCTTCAACCCATTCAATGCCTTCCACCCCTTGAACTTAGGATAGAAAAGAGGGGCAAGAGTAGTCAGGAGAGAAGAATGTGGAAATAGAGAGGGGGGTGGGGAAAGTTAGAGGAAGAAGAGAAAAGGATGGGAAGGGAAACTGTAGTATATCCCATTATCTAGGTGAGAGGTTGCACATTGGCAGCCCGTGAGCTGATTTTGGCCCACAGATAGGCTTAGTTTGGCCGTCATAGTGTTTTGTTTTGTTTTGAAATAATTGAACCCAAATTCAATTTGGGTTCTGTAGCTTCTAGCTTCTCTTGTAAAACAAGAAGACATGTTACCATTGGCTCTATAATCTGTCATGGCAGGAACCAGCTGGAGCTGAGGAGGACCGCCCTTTAGATGGGATTTGTGTGCTCTGCTTTGTCCTAACCCCCCATTCCCTAATACTCCCCCACACTGAGGCTGAGTCTCAGTGTACTGTCCATTTATTGACGGCTATGGGTTATTTATTCCATTTATGATCATGCCTGCATTGTTATTTGTCTTACAGAAATAGAAACTTGCTTATAATTCTTTCTACTTGTGTGTCTACTAAAAGTGACAAAACTAAAGATAGGTCAAGAGGGTCACACGATTCTCTCCTACCTGATCACCTTCATTCATTTGTATGACCTTCCTGACTTCTGTGGGCTTCTGAGGCTGGGAGCCATGCTGACCCTCCCACATACACGGTTAAAATTAATCCTCATGACACAGCTAAGCAGACGCATGTCCCCGTCAGAGCGTTGATCAGGGATGGGGGGGAACTTGTTCAAGTTGGCGAAGGTGAGAAGTGACAAAACTGTGTCTGTGCTCAGGAGGGGAGGTAAGAGAGGAGAAGAGCGGCAAGGAACAAGGTTCTTGTGTTTATGAGAGGACAAAGGACAGCATGTGAGAGCTGACTTTCCTCCCTTAGGGCATCTGACACGATGAAACTCAGAAGCCAATGGTGGATTGGGTTGAAAGGAGACCCCGTGGTGTCATATACACAGTGGGCCTGTGATGGTCACTGGATCTCTGCACCCTCACTTTCACAGACTTACTAAATTTAATTTTCTACAATGTATTATGGAAAAATTTATATAGAAACGAAAGCAGTGAGAACAGTATAATAAACCATATACCCATCACCCAGTGTCAATAATTATCAACTCATGGCTTATCCTGTTTCCCTCTGCAAATCCCGGACCCCTTTATCCTTATATTTTTCAGGAGGTGTCTCGAAAATATAAGGACTCTTTGCTTCTTTTTAAAAAAAAATTTTTTTTTTAACGTTTATTTATTTTTGAGACAGAGAGACACAGAGCATGAACGGGGGAGGATCAGAGAGAGGGAGACACAGAATCTGAAACAGGCTCCAGGCTCTGAGCTGTCAGCACAGAGCCCGACTCGGGGCTCGAACTCACGGACCGCGAGATCATGACCTGAGCCGAAGTCGGCTGCTTAACTGACTGAGCCACCCAGGCGCCCCAAGGATTCTTTGCTTCTTAAACACATTTTCAGCAGCGTTTCTACAGTGGGTCTCTGGGGTCCAGCAGAGTCAGGCTGCTCCAAGGGGTGGCAGAACCTCCTGTTTAGAGGTGGGTATACCCCCATTCTCCCCACCCGGCACACTCCATCCCCGGTTGGCTGGTTGCCATGGCTACAGGGAGAGCACACCTGTGGAACACCGAATACCAAATTATAAAATCAATTCAGCTTACTGAGTGGCAAAGAAGGTCAAGAGTAGAGACTAAGGAAGAATAAGTTTAGAGCTGTTTTCTCTCAAAAACCACACTTGAGAGTGGTCCATATTGCCTCCCCATTTCCTCACTTGCCATTCACTTCTCAACATCTCCAACCTGACTCCTGCCCCCACTATGCCACTGAAATAATTATAATTATTGTCACCAGGACCTCCATGTTGCTAAATCCAATGGGCATGTTCTAGGCCTCCCCTTGCTAGATGTCTCAGCAGCATTCGGTCCTACTGGCCCCTCCATCCTATTGGAAACATTCTTGGTCTGGGACACCACACTCAGCTTGCTGTCCTCTGGTTCTTAGGCTGCTCATCTGTTCTTTCATTTCTGTGTCATCTTTCTCTACTCAGCTACTGAATATTAGCATTCCTTGAGGATTAAGAGTAGACCTGATTTGGGTGCCATACTTTCATGGGCAAGTACACCAATGCCATGGCTTTAATTACTGTATTCCGCTGGCTTCCAAATTTCTGTTTCCAATCCAGACTTCTTTCTCTAACTGCCTACTTGACAGCTGCCCTCAGATGTCTGAACTCACCCTTGACCTCTTCCAGCATTTTCTCTGTCAGTAAGTGGTACTACCATCCGCTTCATTAGAAATGGAGGGAATATCCTGGACAACTCTCCCTTCCTCCTCTCCTGTATCCAATCCATCATCAAATTTTACTTGACCTCCTCCATATTTCTTGAACCCATCTACTTCTCTCCATGTCCACTGCCATTATCCAGGGCAAGACTACCACCAGATCTCATCCAGACTAACTCAAAACCTTCTAATTGGTCTACCTAATTTCCCTTCTTCTCAGCCAGAGTAATCTCTTCAGAATGCAGATCTGACCATCAACTATGGCTCAACATCCTTCAACGGCTTTCTATTTCTGTCAGGGAAGAAGCCCTTAATCCTTAATGGGTGACGAGGTTCACGGTGATGTGGTCTAGCCTCATTGTGTACCACTTTTATTTTTCTCTCTGTGCTCTGCTCCCTGGCCTTCTTTTAGCTCATCTAATACCTCATGTTCCCTCCACAATCTGTTCCTTCTTCTAGAATGTTTCTCTGAACCCCAAATCCAATTTGTTCTTTAGATGTCAGCTCTTCCCCAACCCCCAGTCAGGTCTGTCTTTTCTTTCACATGTTCTACGAGATGCGAAAGCCTCTCATCCAAGGCACTTAACTCTGTACATACATCCATTCAGTGTCTGACTGGACTAACGTTTGTCTCCCAGAACACTGCCGGCTCCAAAAGGTGTTTCCTCACTGTTACAGGTCTAGCGATCAGCAGAGAGCTTACCACCTAGTAGGAATTCATATTTGCTCAAGGCAAAGCTGGACAGCAGAGAAAGGCACCAGCTCAAAAGAAAGATAGGCAAGGAATGATCAACAGGCAATTTAAAGAAAACCAAGTCCCGATATTTCATAAGCAAATGAAAAGCTGCTCTGCCTTACTTATAATTTAAGAAATGCAAATCAAAACCACGATGGGATATTCTTGACCCACCAGAATGGCAAATGTTTGAAAACCTTTACTATTGCCGGAATTGGCAGGTGTGCGAGTAAGCAGGCATCCATAACATTGTTGGTGGGAATGTAAGCCAACTCAACCATAGTGGAGGGCAGTTTGGTTACATTGCTAAAACTTTAAGTGCCTACACACTTGGCCCAAGAATTGTACTCGCATGAAACTACTTTGAGGGATATACTTTTATAAGGACACAAAAGCGTTTGTAACAAGGATATTCTCTGCAGATTTTTTTTAAAATAGAGAAAACCCCCAAACAACCTAAATACCTCAATCCTCAGTAGAGGATTATTTACATAATTTGTCATACTGAATGTCCACGCAGTGGGATGCTAGGTGACCGTAAAAACGAGATAGGTCTGTGTGTGTGGGTATGAGAAGAACTCCGTGATAAATTTTTATTTAAACTTTTTAAATGTTTGTTTTATTTTTGAGAGACAGACAGAGCACGAGTCGGGGAGGGGCAGAGAGAGAGGGAGACGCAGTCTCTGAAGCAGGCTCCAGGCTTTGAGCTGTCACCAAAGTGGGGCTCGAACTCATGAACTACGAGATCATGACCTCAGCCGAAGTTGAATGCTTAACTGACCGAGCCATCTGTTTTGTTTAAATGAAACAAAATGCAACATAGTGTGTTTGCTATGATCTCATTTGTATATACTTTTAAATAAAGGCATATACATAAAACACATACGCCCATGCATAAAGCTTTTCAGAGAAAGTCATAAAACTGTTAACATTTGGGGACAGGAACAAGGGTTTAGGTTGGGATGGGAGATGAGAAGGGAAACATTTATTTCCCATTTTATATCTTTTTATTGCCATTTAGAATTTGTTTTGCCATATGTGTATATTACCTTCTTTAAAGCTTCAACATTTTTCAGTTAATTTAAGGGACATGGTACAAGCAGAAGTACTCCCGAGGGATATACATATTTTCCCCCTTTTTACTGGTTCTTCTTAAAATCTCATTCAGAGCATCCAAAGCTCAGAACTGATGTAGGTTCTGGCTAAGGTTTTATTGCTCTTAATGGCAATATCGTAGAAGAGGTTGTTATCTGGAAACCAAAAAGTCCATTAAAAAAACCATCTGAAATACCGCGTAGGAGGGAACTGTGAGGGTTTCCCAGGAACTAAAACATGGGGACCCCAAATCTTTTTACCATCTACTACTGTTACCCCTGCCCCTGCTCTCGGGTTTAGGTGAATCTCTCACCATATAATAGCAAAGCATAAAAAAAAGCCATGTGAGGTTTTTAGCAGACATGGGCCTGATTCCATATGCCCACAGGTTAGCTTCTGAAACGGCTCCAGAACTAGTCTCACCTGGGCTTGCATATTGAAAGCAGCTGCACCCACAATTTACGTGCCTGTAAGCAGTTCCAGGGCTGCGTAAGGGTGTCCAGAACTACCCCACAAAAACGTGCAGGTGACTCATGGCTCTCGCTAGCGGGTGTGTTCATGGAAGGTCAAGCTTTGGCGAAGCTTGTCGCAACTGTGTCAATAAGAGGAAACCTCCACTCTCGTTTGACATACGCCTTTC